CGAATCTAATGGTGATATCTTTGTTCGAACGGGATCACCGGATGTCGAGATATCGAGTTCCGAAGTGACAAATTCATTTTTGAAATTTCCGGTAATATATTGTAGGGGTGTACTACAGTATTCGAAATTTAGATGTCATATTTAAGTTTATTTTATCAGTGATTATCGTCATGGCAGCGTGTTTTGTATGTTATTCTTATTTACATGTACTTCTGTTACCAAATTCGTATTATACATTATAGCTAGAACTAACATAAGGTACTTGTATAAAAGCCTGTCTCATTTTTCATTCGTTGTTGGGCATGTAATACATGTACATGTATTTGCATTTAAATAAAACACTGTCATTATCACTAATAACTCAAAGATGGCGTCTAAAACGCATGCTTGTAGTACATTTTATTATTGTCGAAACAATGACTACTGTAACAAGTGTTCAGTTCACAATATTCATGATTGTAGTGAATGTACCAAATGTCAAAGAAACGAGTACTGTGTTGGATGTAATGAATATCACAAACGAAATTATGTTGAATGGTCTAGTGGAACTAAAGATATCGACAGTCTAATAAATGAATATAATATTATGAACTTTAATGTATTCGAATGGATCCCTTTTGAAAGATTTACCAATGTTGTATAGCTTGCAAAGGAAGGTTGGGATCAATTAAAAAGCAACCTGGTCGGATAGTCTATTAAAATACCCTATCAAGTGGGATCATGAAGAAAATAAATTTAAACGAGATAATATGATCGGTGTTATTGTGTTGAAATCATTACACAATTCAAAGCAAATTACATCCGAGTTTATAAACGAGGTAAAATGAACACCTTTTTAAAGAGTAAGCATATTGCTTTTTTGTTTTTTAATCTAATTCACTTTTTAAAAAATTAGATTCAGATTGCTCTAAAGTGCACTTAGTATATTAATTATTACGGAATAGCTAAAAACCCAGTTACAAATGAATATTCGATAGTAATGACTTATGTAAAAGATGGCAATCTTCTCAAGTATATTAATTCCAATTACGAAGAGTTGACTTGTGAAGTAAAATTCGGACTTTTATATAGTATTATTAATAATCTGCATGAAATTCATGGTGCAGGATTTGTGCATCGGGACCTTCACCCTGGAAATATATTAATGTGGTGGAATGTTGCTCGAATAACTGATTTTGGACTTACTGTCCAGCTAATTTAAATAAAACTAAGCAATATATTTACGGAGTACTTCCTTATATTAGTCCAGAGGTGCTAAATGGAAAAAACATACACTGCAGCTGCAAATATTTATGGTTATGTATGAGATTGTGACAGGCGATCGGCCATTTGGTGAACGAAGTCATTGCATACGACATCTATAAAGGAGCACGACCTGATGGTACAAATTTATTATTTAAAAATGTTGGGATCCTATTCCAGAAAACAGACCAACTGCGGAGCTTCTTTTGAACTATCTATTTTGGAACAGACCACAACCCGAATTCTTCTCTCATCTCTTAAAAGATTTTTATTACGGCGCTTTAGAAATTGTTCTTTCGGAATTCTATGCTACAGCACTTTAGAACACCAAACATTAAGGAGTATCTTAAACTAGAAATGCAGAAAATAAATGAACTTGATAAGGAAATGGAATTGCAAAAATTATTCTTCGAAAACCAAAAAATCCACTCAAATGCAGTTTATATCAGTCGAATTTTTACTATGAAATTAATTTCAACTCCAAATGATAAAGGTACTTTTGTTTCTAAATATAATTGTACTAACATTTCACATTAATTGAAATTATCAATGTTAGATCAGTTTTTATGTTCAAGATGAAGGTAAAATTGTACATGTATTTAGTTTTCTTTAAGTCATTATTATTTTTCTTTTGTGGTACAAACAGATTTGGATTTCTTTCATGTACCAATTGTTAAAAAGATGATTACTGCTCTGAATATTCAGATTATAACTATCAATTTTATAACGCTGAATAGTCTAGTAAAATAAAATATCTTGCAAAAGGAGGTTTTGCAATGATTTATAATCAGATTGGTTGAACGGACCATTGGATAATGAGTGAGATCATAAATTTAAACGCCGCCGTGAAGAACACAAAATTGTGTTGAAGCCATTATGTGATTCAGCGGTAAAAATGAACAGTTTCTAAAGTGTAAGCAAGTTGTGTTTTGTTTCCTAATACAAATTTTTTCAAAAATAGATTCAGACTGCTTTAAATTGTACTGTACTTCGTAGTTCTTTTGGAATAAATCTTATGGAACAACTAAAACCCAGAAAACGAATACTTGCTAGTAATGACTTATGTGAAAGAGGGAGATCTTCGCAATTACCCAAAGAAATGATTTGTTTTTTCGAAATTATATTGACAAAACATTGTTTTAAATGCAACACGATCAGCTCCTTCATTTTGTATATGTTCAAAAGAAGAATCATTACCGAATTCTGCCCATTCATAAATCAAATGATTACTTTTATCCTTTGATATATGCAATTTGAAATATTTATTCTTTAAAAATGTATATATTGTATAACCTGGCAATATTAATTCATTATTTTTATTTGGTTGATAAGGATGATATCCAGCAACGCGTTGGGTTTATCAAGAATTGATCTCATATCTATAGGCGTGTGAGAATAGAATGAATTTCTAAAACTTCTAATATTGTGTCTATTTCTCTTACGACCCATGAATTATTATTTTGTTGAATGGAAATGCGTGCCCAAATTTTTTTTTGAATGCTTTTCGTGCCAATCGGTCATTTTATCTAACAGAAGAATTTGGAATATTTAAGAAAATACGTACATGTACATGTAGAAATGTACACTAATGAAATTAAAAAGTAGAAGATAAACTCGTATCACAAAACTACGTATCTGGCTCTTGCAAAATTATATAATTTAAATATTTATTGGGAAAAAGTTAGTTCTAGTTCTAAAGAATAAAACTCAATATGAAATTTTTTATACAAATTTGCTTGAATCTTGTGATTTTGGTATCACGATTATAAAGATCTGCATAAATTCCTTAAACCGGATAACATATAACCGGAACCCTATCCAAAATTGATTCATTGAGAGATATGAAAATTATGCATTTTCCGGAATATCATCTGAACGTGTACAACAACAACATGAAATCCTATCACCAAAAAGATATCGTCCGAGTTTCTTAACTAAAAATACAATAATTATAAAGACATGTAAACTCGCAGTGAGTATCAATGCTAGCAGTAATCCTGCGAGTGTAATTAATAAACTCCTATCCATTCCGTGCACTTCATCTATATTTGTCATCTCAATATTTCTCCAAACCACAAAACATATCAAAACGAGTCTTATAATTCCTAACGCATCTACGATGTATTCCAACCTATTGACCAGATTTCTCGTTAGACTCTTTCGGCCTTTGCCTCTCCAATAATAATAATATGGACCACCTATAATTAAAATATTATTGTTCAAGGTTGGGAAATGTCATGAAAATTTGATTGAAAATGGAAAATTGATAACGACTTACATTTAAAGACACCAATCAAGTCCCAGAAACTGAAACTTGTGTATTTATAGATGATGAAAGTATAAATGTTTCGAGGTAAAAATTCGGCTCCGATAAGGACGACGTATAATTGCTGATTCAAAATTTTGTTTCTAGTCTTGTAAAGAGGAATATGAAATCGATACTGACATTAGTAATCTCTTCCTCAATACATATGGTTGAAGATAACTCAACTTTTCAATGCCTACCTCAATAGAATATAAACCAATCGCTACGGTGGCTACCACAAAAACGACAAGAGTGTATAAAGACATAGCAATATTTTTTCGATCAGTGCTACGACTTGGATTACTATATGGATACATTTTCTCGTCCACTTGAGATCCATTTTCAAGATTTTGATTTTGCATGTTTTTATGTGTCAACAATGTAAAGTTTGCTAATGATAATTTAAAAAATCGAATGTACACAAATCACTACTCTCTTCCTCCATATTTTATATAAGTTCATGCCAAGCCATAAGCTCATGTTGCAAGAACTTGTCGTTAATTAATTTTGCCTCTTTTTGTGTTACTTATTAGAGAGTTGGACAATCATGATAACAAATTAAAAAGAGTTTCAAAAAAAACCCATTCAAATAATGTAATGCTTGGCAAATCGTTCCAAAAATAAACTTACTAGCCAACATACTATATGTAATATAGATACTATGCGTACTAAATACTGATATTACATGTATCAGTAATTAATATTTATAGCATGCCATCTAAAGTCATCAAACGTTTGTATTTTATAAAACGGATAAACTTCTTTACGTACTAAGAAGTAGATACAAAATTTAATCCGTAAATATGATAGAATAGACCCTTTCTGAGCATATTTACAGATTAAATTTTGTATCTACTTCTTAGTACGTAAAGAAGTTTATCCGTTTTATAAAATACAAACGTTTGATGGCTTTAGATGGCACCATACTATAAATATTGATTACTTATACTAATATATTTTTATTGATATTACGAATATTACATATAGTAAAAAAATTATTATGATTAGAGAACGTATGCGATCTGATGCAACTCCATTATCTCCAATAGATTATGAATTTGTTATGCAAAACCCAAAACCAAAATTTTGGAGATGTTAAAGGGGAAAATACCCTATGACAAATAATCGTTTTTATCAAATCTGGGGAGTGGAAGAAGTTTGTATGAACGTGTGGTATCAGCCTATATCCAATTCATTAGTAAATCACAGTTACCAAATATTGATGAAGCCAGCCCTGTAAAAAAAAATAAAAGAAAATAATCAGGAAAAGATCCAGTTTTTTAGTTCTGGAAAATCACAAGTTTTGATAACAAAATTCTGGATTAAAATCTGATAAAAATGAAAAAAATGGGAAAATACAAAAATATGTCCAGTAACATTGGGACGTGATATCTCGCGATTCACTATTTCAATCCGAACAATAATACCTCCAATCGATTAGTCTAGTCTTGGCGAATAAATGGTGGTATTATTATCTAGATTGGATCAGTGGATCGCGAGATATCACGTCCCAAAGTTACTGGACATATTTTTTCATATTCCCCATTTTTTAAAAATGGATTAATATTTTATCACTCACTTAACCAAATTGGATAAAAATAAATCCACATATTTACTGAAATTTAATGGAATATTGGCTGAATTTTGGTGAAATTTGGCCTGGTGTGTCATGATATATCATGCTTCAAATTAGTGTTCCAAATTAAAATAAGTTTTTTTTAAAAAATCAAAATTAATTCAGCAAATTTGAAACATGATATCTTATGAATTATGTATCAAACCATTTTTTTAAAATTACTACCATTGAATTCACGTTTAGAACAAAAAATTAAAAAATTGATCAGTAACTTTGGGAACGCGATATCTCACGATCCACAGATCCAATCCGGACAATAATATCACCTTTCGATTTGCCAAGACTAGATGAATCGAATGGTGGTATTATTGTTCGGATTGAAACAGTGGATCGCGAGATATTGCGTTCCAAAGTTACCGGATTTTTAATCAAATTTTTATCAGATTTTAATCCGGAAATTTGTTAACAAAACTGGTGATTTTCCGGAACTAAAAAACTGGATCTTTTCCTGATTATTTTCTTTTATTTTTTTTACAGTGCAGCATAACTGAAAATTCTAATCAAATCAACGCAGATACTTCACATCTAAATTCTATTTTCACTTCAGATAGACAGATAAAGAAAAGGAAACCGAGATATAAGACTGTTCAAATTTCTGACTCACATATTATATAATATCTGGTCCTGACTGATTTTTCTCTTAAAATTAAATTTTAGTTAGAATTAAATTTAGAATTAATATTATTATATAGCAAATAAAAGCACAAAATATTGTAAAATTTTTTATTAAAACACAAAAGATAATTTTATAGAAAAATTTTTAAGATACAAGCTATTTTTCAAAAATTAGTATTATTTTATTTATTTTTGCATCATACATTAAGCTTGTGATTTAATTAGTGCATAATTTCAAGGAAATATTACATGATTAGTATCAATGTCTAATATTTGTCACACAGAAAATTGCTACTTTTGTTGAATAATTGTTGTGTGAATGTTGAAAAATAATGTTTGTACACAACAATTGTTCATTTGTCGGACATTAGTTGATCATTTTTTTTATAGGGCCACTGGACCTTATCCTCGTTAATTTTCGTTTTGCACACCGAATTAAAAAAGTAATAAAGAGCTATTCCTTTGTACAGTACGCGTTGATACATTTTGTGTGTGGAATATAAAAGAGCCTTTTAAAAGTCTGTATATTTTATATTTTTCTTTAACACAATGGCAATAAACCAATCGATTTCGATTTTCAATTGATTTTGATCTCATTCTCTCAAAAGACTTGCTACAGATTTTTGCTTCATGATTTTTTATGAAGTATATAGTTGGTTCTTCTTTGAGCATTTTTAACCTCATCAGCAATTTGTTACATTGTTTTCTTGAAAAAATTCTTAATATGTAGTTGACTGCTTCATAAAATCTTTCTGGTGAAAAAACTGTCTGATCCATAATCAGATAGTATTGCTTGATAAGTAATTACTAATTCATTGTATTTTTGTAATGATTTTTTGTCGTTTTTTCAACCAATAAAAATCGAGTGTCAGAATGCATCATAATTGATTTGAACCATTTGTTTCGGTAGTGAATGTGAATCTTCAAGTCATGATTTATAGATCAATCTTTTATTATTATAAGTGGATTTTGGATTAAAATATTTATAAATGACATCTCATTGAATTTTTCTATGCTAACTAAATGTTGCTCACAAAATTACAGGTAAAATTTCCGTGATTATGAAAATGAAAAAATAAATATAAACAGTTTTTTAACTAAAAATTTACAAATAAGAATATATTTTTTCAAATCAAAAGATTCAACCAGCTCTCCTGCTCGATCGTGACCATTTACATGCGCTTTTTGATACCATTTTAATGATAAATCAAGATCTATTGGAATTCCGAAACCGAATTGATAACATTCAGCTAGTTTTAATTGAGAGATATTCAGCCCAAATTCAGCGGATCTTAAGTACCATTCAAATGCTTTTTTCTCGTTTCTATTTGTTCCATTCCTTGAAAATAGCATTCTGCAAGAAAATGCTGAACATTGCGAGCATCAAAGCTTTCCGACTCTGCCGATGTTTGGAAACACGAAAATGCTTTCTGTAAATCTCTATTAGTTCCCTCGCTATGATAGTAGCATCTACCTAGATCGAAAAATCCGGTAATTGTAACCTTGATAATTCTAAAAATAATTAAATGCTTTTTTTCATCTCGTTGTGTTCCTATACCATTTCGATAAAACCAACACAGATTAAATTTTCCACTAGCAACACCACCCTCTGCTGATTTCAAATACCACTCAAATGCTTTTTTCTCATCTTTTTGTGTTCCTACACCATTGCGATAACAGAAACCAAGAATACACTGTACTTGAACATCTCCATTTTCAACTAACTTCAAATGCCAATCAAATATTTCACGGTATATTATTTTTTTCAAATTGTTTAAAAAGATCCAAAAGAATTTTTAAAGCTATATTTTTCAATTCTCTATTTTCGGAAGAAAATATTCATCGAATGATTATTGATAATCCTTCGTGGAGTTTTGAATCTTTGTCTTTCATTTCATTGTAGACGTTGATATTGTCCATTGAAAAACGTTATAAATTTCCTTTTTCGAGACCCACTACGTATATACCTGTATTTACGTAACACTGTTACGAGGATTTGTGTTTCTATTAAAAAGGAAGGGATTTTCCTATAAACGGCGGTTTTTTGGGAGAGCAAGAGTTTTGGACAACAATTGGTTTTGCCTGTGTCGATATCTACGGATATCGTATTTG